CTTATTATTCACTTAATTAGAAGATAGTGTTTATATGTGACGTCTCCTCTCTTTTTCAACGTACATCAGACCATTTACGAGATTATTAGATTATTCATAAATTTTGGTGAGTATACTAAATCTAGATAAAAACAAATAATAAATAAAAGCAGAATTGAAGCTGAATAATCTCAAATTAATTTTATTACGATTTTATTTATCATTAAAAATACAATAATAAATTATACAAAATTATATAAATTATACAAAATTATATAAATTACACTAATTTATCAAATCTACCGAATCAAGATTTTTGATAAAATCTTAATAGAGTTTATTTTAAGATAGGGTTTGATAAACTTCTTTAATATTGGTAAGAAGTAAATAAATTTTATTTTTTTCATTAACTAATTTATAAAAAATATATTATATAACCTTTTAATTTTTTAAATATATAATTGAATTTAAGTTTACAAATAAATTATAGATTTATTTGAATAAATTTCTACATTAAAAATTATATATAAGAAAAAAAGAAAATGAAATAAAATAAACCTTTGTGTAACCTCAAATTCTTCTGGAAATCAAGTAGATGGGCATCATCACTGTCATTCATTGCCATAAACTGAACTAACAGTGTAATAATAATTGAAAGTCTGATTGGAAGAGAAGATTGGCATGACCACATGTTGCTCCAATGAAAGCAAATGGAGTAGTTGGAAGTTCATTTAAGTCACTACTTAATTTTTGGTACATTTTTTGCATGTACTTTTCAAATCACTTATATTACTATTTATCTATCATTTGTGCCTGCATTGAAGTATTATGAAAAGGAACACAGACAAAGGTTATTCACATATTCAAGTATTTGCCCTTTCCAAACCCAAGAAATATAATAAGAATGGTTAATGGAGACGTTTCCACTGTTAATCAGTTTCAATTATCTCTACCTATTCAGATATCACTATCACTATAATTTTATTTGTCAGTATTTTAATTTATTTTATTTATAATTTAAAAATTAAACTTCATCATAATAATATGTTATTTTACAATATTCCTTTATATATTTAGTAGTTTTAACAAATTAAAAATACTTTTGTTTATTAAAATTCTTATAACATATATTATGTAAAAGGGTCTATGGACGTCTCCAATGAATGTTTTTAACTAGGTAATTTTTATTTTTATTTAGATCGAACATTTAAAAAAAATGAGTTGTAAAAATAATCTGTTACTTTTTATACATAAGATTGTTCACTAATTTATTTATTTTTTTATTATTTAATTTAAAAAATAGTATCTTAATCATATCTAATCCCTACAATGAATAATATGGATTAACCTGACTTTAATTAGATGAAAACTAAGTATCTAAGATAAAATATTTCAAATTAATTGAAACTTATTTGGAGAGTGTAAAGAGTGTTTTAAGTTATAGAAGAAAAATAAGAAATTATTATTTTTATATCATTCAATTATTACAAAATAAAGGAAAAATAATAAATTTCTGTCTAACTCCCGTTTATATATAATTAAAATTAATAAAAATTAACGTATATTTTATTTTTATTTAAAAATATTTTATCATACGGTATATATATATATATATATATATATATATATATATATTATATGTAATTTTTTATTTAAGTTTCGCTTTGTTATAACTTTAAAATGGATTTAATTATAATAATTAAATATTAAGTTAGTACTGATGTTATAGGAATACATTCCCAGGCATGTTCCATTAATTTTGACTCTTTAAATTTAATAATAATTTATTATAATTATATATTTATAATTTTTTTATATTTATTTATTTTTTATTAATAATGTATTATTATAATCTTTTATCTTACTTTATCTTAATAAATCAATAATCTGAATAAAATATTAAAAATTTTGATATATTTATATCAACATAATTAATTCAAAATATTTAAATAATAAACTCTGAAGTTAACATGACCAGTAAATATGAAAAGAATGAAATCAATTCTAAAGTTTTTTTTTCCATTAAATTATTATTTGAAAAATATATTATAATTTAATTAATTAAAATAATAAAATAATATATCTTTACAAAAAAATTATAGAATACTAAATATGACATCTCATGTATTTTTTTAGAAAACCATATATTAAAATTCTATTATTTATTATATAATTGATTGAAGAACACATTATATCGTATAATAATAATTACAATATTTAGAATATTATAATTACTATTATATAATATATAATAAGTTGTAAACCGGTATTTTGTGAAGATATTGGTTATATTTTAAAATTGTTTATTTATATTCATATAACATCTCACATGGGAGATGTGTCAAAAACTAAGATATGATGAAGCACAGAGTGTAGGTGGCCTAGGTAGGTTACTGTGTGAGAAGGTGAACCTAACAATTTAGATGGCTTCATTTAAAACAGTTCACAATATCAAGCACAATTCTGAATTAGGAGTGAGCATAGCTTAAGGAATCATTCTTGCACACTTCAGTTACTTTTCATTTCTCATAAATGTTTAAATTTTATATATAATTTTTTTTAAATTCTCTTAGTAAATAAATTATTTCTATTTTAATATATGTCATTTATTCTACCAATAACTCGTGATCCATACTAGCAACATGTTAAATATTAAGCAAAATTATCTCATTTTTTGTTAGATTTTAATAAATTTTTACATTTTTCTTAAGTTCTCAATATTGTTTTTTTTTTCATTTTGATTTTCTTAAAATTTTATTTTATTTTGGTTTTTATTATTTTTTATATTTCTTAAGTAATAAGTTGTCTATTAAGTGAATATAAAACAATGTTGAAGTCAAATTCCCTTAATTAAGGTTAGAGATGATAATCAATTTTATTAAAGTTTGTTTTTGGGTATTTAGAATTATTTTATTAATTATTATTATTTATAAATTATATATTTTATATTTATTATTTTAAAACAATAAATTAAAAAATAATTAATTTATACATATAATAATTAAAGTTTTAATCAAATTTTGAGAATAATATTATAATATGTATTAATAACAGTTTTGTTAGTGTTCTATATTTCTATAAAAAATATATTAATATATTGTTTTAATGTATATATTTTAATATGAAATAATAAGTTTAGATATATATATATATATATATATATATATTTAATTATTAATAGTAATTTAAAAATTATAATTATTTATCTATGTATAAGAAATTATACCTACAAAATAATATTAAAATTAATTGATTATAATTTATATGTAATTTTTTTTAATAATATGGAACAGGACAAATTAGACGGAAAAAATCGAAATTCAGCATAAGAAGAAGAAAAAAAAATATAAAGGAATTGGAAAGGAGATTAGGAAGGTAAAATGTGTACCATTGTCATACTTAAGATGCGGATATGGATATTCTCTAGTAAGATATGCATTAAATTGATGTTACTTTTTATTACATTGATCAACTTTTTATTTAGACAGTAATTAAAAAAAATTACATGTATCAAATTAACAAACTATTCTAATTTGACATCAATAACTTATAAAAACTAAAACAAAACATAATTTTATGAAAGAGCAAGATGAAAACAACAAATGAGATATAAAATTTTTTTAGTAAAAAAGAAAAGACATGTCAAATAACAATAGGTAGAGATAAAATCATAAACAAAAATTTTAGCAAGGATTACAGAAATTGTTTTAACTTTTATTATTATTTTTTTATTATGATTATATAATCAAGTGTTTTATTACCGCGATATTATCTACTTCATGTAAAGTTTACAATCAAGAATAACGTTTTTTACATTATCTTTTATGAGATGAACATATATTTAACATTGTTATATAGTTTTTGCATTGTTAATAAATTGATTACTTATCATAAGATGGAAGCTAGATATGTTATATTTTTGATGCATTGAATTGATATTGCGTGTAAAAGAAAATGTTTTCCAAGTCGAAAGATATGTTTAAAATCTGAAAAAAAAAAAACTAATAGGAAGGATTAAAAAATGGTCCTGATCCATTTATAAATAAAGGAAACATGTGGCAACTAGTGGTACCGTGGTAGTAAATAATAACATTAATTACTTTGATGGAGATGACAAACACATTAAATTTCGTCATTTTATTTCCAGCCAGTTTCAATTGCCATTTTTTGCTAGAAATTGGTACGATAAGAGAGGGAATGAGAGTAGAAAAAAAACGGAATGTAAGAGTTTTGGAAGAAATGAAATGTTAGACTCACTTTGTCATTTTCTCGTTCCTGTTTTTACCCATTTTCTATATTTTTTTCTCTATTTCATCATTATCAAATAATTATTAAAATTTACATATTAGTTTATGAAAAAACTAGTTAATTAATAGTGGGAAACGCGTATTTGACATTTTATTTTATCTTTTTCTTTATATAAAATGATGTCACCAATTATACTTATCATTATCTATATTTGTCACCAGTGTCAAATGACATGTAATATCCTTTTAGCTACAATTCCCGTGTAAACAAAACTGCATAAGATGAGATACTAACAAAAAATACTATGATCGATCAAACTTGTTTTTATCGAAGAGACATATGAAATAAAAAGAAAAGACAAAAAAATTGTGTTATGAAATGTGTTGTCCAAAATTTTGTATAATCAGTATAGTTTCTGAAGAAAAGAATACATTTATGCAACAAATTTCTATAATTTTTTTATAACAAGAGATTGATAAAAAAAATAATATTATTCGAAACGATACGGTGGTATGAAAGATGTAACAGTGTAATATAACTCATACACCGAAATGTTTTTGAAGGGAAGAGAATAAATTATTTATCCGATGAAAAGTTAAAAAGGAGAAAAGAAAATAAGAGCGTAGTGAAACAGATAGGGAATATAGGAATAAAAAGAAAGAAATTAAACGAAAAACACAAGTTTTTCGGTCACGAGAAGAAAGTAAGATCTAAACATAGGTTTTTAAATTTTACAGTGGCTAATTTGGAGGCGTGGAAGCGGCGACAAGGTTTCAGACGAGGTGGCGGTTGGGCATGACGACGTCGTCGAGCGTCCAAAGGTCGGCATGGAGCGGGTCCCACTCAGCAAGTGGTTGTGGCTGTGGCTGCGGTTGCACTTGATGGTGTTCATGGTCCAAACCAAGGAACGATTCGAGGTTGGAAATATGGTGCTTGAGTTGAGAGTCGAGGTCATGGTTATTAAAAGTGGGTTCATAACAGGGCTGAGTCAACTCTTGTGGGTAGTGGTGGTGGGGGAAGTTGAGCTTGGCCTTGTCTCCGCGGATGCGCTTGGCGGCGTCGTCGTAGGCGCGTGCGGCTTCCTCGGCAGTGTTGAAGGTTCCGAGCCACACGCGCACACCCTTGCGTGGGTCTCTTATTTCTGCAGCCCACTTTCCCCATGGCCTTTGCCTGATTCCTCTGTACACGTTCTTCCGTACTCGCGCTCCACTCTTCTCTGCAACCACTCTTTTCTTCTTCACCTTCTCAGCTGCCTCCACTGCATCACAGTTAACAATAAACCTCATCATCGTTCCTAGAACTTCATAAACCTACTTAAATAAACCATTTTAGTTCAGAAGAATCAAAATTATTATAAAAAAGTATTATTATTATTATTATTATTATTATTATTATTATTATTATTATTATTATTATTGTTATTGTTGTTATTGATCAGTGCTCTCGGTGAATTTATGACAGTGATAGTGTTTTCTTTTTACTTAATAATAACTCCAAAAGTTACCAAGTTGGACCTCTTTCCTTTTCTTTAAATAAGAAAAACGTGAATAAAAGAACCATCCGTGTCTTGTAAAGGTCAAATGATGAAAGAAAAAGGCATCACCGTAAGTCCGTCAGATTCTTCTTTCCCAGATTCATAAACACGCGTATGTGTGGTGTATCTAACTCCACGGATCCATAGCACGATAGAGAAGAAAAAAGATGAAAGAGGTGGAAGAAAAGGAGTTACCTTTGTTGTTTGTAGGGTGAGATGATTGGGGTTTGGAAGAAGAGGTGGGGTGGAGAGGTTGGAAGTGAGAGAAAGCGTCAATCTCAGAACAGAGTTCTTGAGCGGTTAATTTCCGACCATTCTTGAAATCCACGTCTATGAAATCAGAAATGATAGCACCCCCACACATTTTGATCAGATAAAATGGCGACGGTGATTGAGAGTTTTAAGAAAAAAAATGAAAACTTTATGAGAGAGAAAGTTGTGACGATGGAGTCTGAATTTATAGCAGTGGGCAGAGAAAAGAATAACATCACACACAAGTGGACGGAAACGGATATCAGATTTTTCTCCCACCATCCTACGGTGGCCAACGATTGCATTAAAATTTGTTTTTCTAAAGCAAATACTATTAAAGACTTTTATTTTTAAAAACAATAAAAAACAATTATTTACCTCAATAATATATTTTATTTTATTTACTTAAATAACACGCTTTAGTATATAATTGAAAAAAATAATATTCTCATGATTTTTTATTTTTTTAATCTCTTTGAGAAATTAGTTGGATCTTTTTATTTTTATTTGTCACTGGTGCAGTTCAAGAACAACAATACAGGAGATCGCAAGTAGCAAATTAATTTATTAGTTGGACCCTTTTATTAAAAGAACATTTTTTTTCCTTTTAATTTTCAAATTCAATGTTTTTAAAATTTTTTGTTGTAAAATTAAAATAGTTTTAAATAATTGAAATTAATTTAGAATATATACGAAGACGAGTTATAATTTTTGGGAATAATTTCAAAAGTTATTTAAAAAAAATAAAAATGAAAAAAAGGATATTGGTACAAAAAAAATAAAAACAAGCAATGTTGTATATTGTAAAAATGGTACTATTATTTTATAATTAAAAATAAATATTTTAATTAATAAATAAACTATTAGTTCTAAGTCCGTGTTCTTAAATCTGTTTTTTAATTAAATTATTTTTAGTTAAAAACAAAATGTAATTGGAAAACGATCATTTTCATTATTTTAAAAAATAAATGTTTTTAGAAAATTTGAGGATGTGATTAAAAATGAATAAAAAATTTATAATTTTTTTAATTAATACATTTTTTTAATCAAATAACGGATATCAATTTTAAATAATGATAATGAATTTAGAATTTGTGATAAAAGCGGTGTCAAATTGTTATTAATATAGTAATTTGTAAAAAATTGTATGCTATAATGAAAGAAAATTTATAATATTTCTTAATAACATAAATTTTACAAGAAATTCTAATAAATATATATATATATATATATATATATATATATATGATTTTCGTTATTTAACTTATATTTTTTTATTCAAAATAAATATTGAATTAAAATAATTTTGATAGTACAATACATCAATATATATGTATATATGACAATAAAAATAGTAATACAAAATAAAATTTAATTGCATTAAATAATGATAAAAAAAAGAGTTTATGGTGGATGGATCGAGCTTATATGGTATTATTATTATTTTTTTAATTTGGATTTTTATATATTGAATAGTTTTTATGATATGTAGTTTCAATTATATTTGTCTCCATGGATTATCTCGAAAAAGAGAGAGAGAGAAAGTATAATAATCCTGAACAAGTTGTAATATAAAATTGTATTAAATCATTTTTACCTTGATCTATTTAATTCAGACTTAATTTGGGTTAGGTCACAAGTATACCAGACTATTTATCAAATAATAATTATATTCTAAAAAAACAATATTATTTTGTTAAATATATATTAATTTATATATTAAACTATAGGTAAAATTTAAATTTATTAAAGAGTCACAATGGCCCGCAAATTTAATGGGGTCGGCCTAAATATAAAAATATGGTCCATTTTTTTAAACATGGATTCAGTTGATGGGACAATTTTTTTATTTATTTTCTTTAGGTTAGAGCACAGAAAGTGAAAGAGTAGAAAAAGAAATAAAAAATAAAGATGTTTGTATTAAAAAAGAAAAATAGAATTATATTTTTTTATTTATATTTTTTTATTTTAATTTTTAATATATTTTGAAATTGTTATTATAATAAAAATAAATTTTATTCACTGTTGTGTAATGTCTAAACGTTTTTTTTAACCAAATACTTTACCAGCTTATTGTATAATTTGGATAAAGGTTTTAGAGTTGTTTATAGTCTGCCCAATACCAAAAAGATAGTAGATGCCTGTGAGATGTTGAATAGGCCTTTTCCTCTTTTAGATTTCTAGACTCACATTTTTAAGAGGCAAAGAAAATTGCTATGAATGAGGTTAAGACATCCAACTGAATAAGATAATATTTTTTTTATGATAATTAATTAAAAAAATGTTTAAACATAATATAAATGTACGTGTTAACATAATTTATAGTGGTTTGGACTGAATTTAAATTAATATTTTCAGAATCAGACTGGTAATTAGAAACTTTAAAATTCAAAGGTTAAAGTCAAACCGATTTTAATAAATTTTTTTGTTCTAATTTTTAAAATATAAAAATGTAACATAAAAAAATTTTAATAAAAAAATTAATACATCATATTTAAATTCAACAATGAAAAAAATAAAATCAACAACTAAAAAGAAAAAATAACAAATTTCTCTACCTTTAAATTATACATAAACTAATATATATATATATATATATATATATATATATATATATATATATATAAAGAAAATATAAGAATTTTTACAGATTAGTTTATAGATAAATTTAATTTAAACTCAATTGCTTATTTTATTTTAATACTTATTAGTTTTTTATTTTGTCTCATTATCTTTTTTAATATTAATTTAATCTCAAGTATTTTAAAAGTAAATCAATATTATTTTTTCATCAATATTATTAAACTGCTTATAAAAAACATATTCACATAACACTAATCTATTATTCATCTTTATCATTATGTCTAAACATCATTAATAATATACAAATTAGCATAAAGTGACATTTACATAACATCAAACATAATCCCGTTTTACAATTATTTATATTATGTGTAACACATGATCATTAATATACTAATTAGAATAAAGTAACGTCTACTTCTTTTTGTTTTCATCAAACATAATCACTTTCTAATATTCTGTTAGATAATTAACAAAATAAAAAATTGAGTCTTACAAAAAAAACTAATAGATTGACATTAAATATAGAAACAAAACAAAATAAAATTAAAAAAGGTAATAAATATTAAAACGAAAGAAACTATTAATCTTTTAATTTTAAAGATCTTCGGTTCATTTTTTTAAATCTTTCCGGATAAATTGTCCGCACAGACCCCAAATCCACACAATTTCTAATTATTAATGTGTACTTCTGAACTACCTAGTGGCAATGGTAGGGAAACAAGTAACATGAAATACTAACAAGTGCCGTACAAAATCGTCCAGGTAACCTGGGCACAAAAATTCTGTAAATCAAAGTTTCTTTGCATAACGTAACAAGAAGGCATTGCAAATGTCTTTCTTTAGATGCAAACAATTCAAACACTTGAGGACATAAATAGAAAAAGAATATGGAAACTCTATAATGTTCAAAACTGGTGAAGGTAACAAGAATGTTAATTTCAAGAGAGGCAGAATGAAATAACCCATACACATTTCATATCAAAGGTGACAGCAATCAAAAGCAGTCCATACGTAATACCCCCTAACTATCATGGCAAAGGAAATGGGGGTTGTTGACGATGAAAAAACCTATATGACATAATAATTAAAGGTAAAAGAAAAGGACAAATAAATTCCTACTCCGCCATCTTAGCCAACCGGTGAACGGTGCTTCTAGCAACCCTATTACTAGGATCAATCTTCAGCACAGTCCTAAGATCTTCGGCACCAAGTTTGTACTTTTCCATACTCTCGTACAAGAGAGCACGCTGTACCAGGACAGATACATTGGTTTCATCATTTTGAAGAACCTGCACAATAACACTCCCTCTTTATTATACGGTGTTCAAGAAAATGACATAGTTCAGATCATTAGATATTCATGGAACACAGGCCAAGCCATACATTCTAACCTTTTAAACTTCAATCACTGAATTGTATACACATGCTACCTAGGGTCTTAAGATATAAATAGGACCAGGCAATCATTGATAAACTAGCTTTTCGGTGATAATTAGTTTGTGCTTAGAAATAACATTTTTACGTGTATTACTTTCACAAAACTCACTTTTCTTATTAAATTGCGATAGACAAACAGACAAAAACTACGAGGGCGGAAAAATGGCAAAAGGAAGCAATACCCTAAAATAAACACAGTCATAGTACGCTCAGCATGGGCCATTTTAACACAACTGTGATAAGCCCACCCCCCTCCCCCGCAACAGTCACACGCATTGTTAAAGGCACCATTTGCTATTTGAGAAAATTGGGCTTCTATTAGAATTGATCAAATCTATTTATTAGTCTTTTGTGAGTTCATGACCCACAGCCCACAGTAATCTGCTTTATTGATTTTAATTTCTATTAGAATTGACCATATTTATTTATTAGTCTTTTGTGTGTTTATGGCCCACTGTGTATAATTGATGGATCTGTAGAACAAATGAACATTTTAAAATAGCGAATGACCAGCCATATTTAAGGGGTTTTTAACCAGATTAAAATATTTCCCTCTGGGTTATACGTCCCCAAATTTGACTCGTAACTAACCAAATTGTAATTGAGTTAGGGGAAAAATGGTTGGTAACGTTTGATCAAGACCTATTTTAAGAGAAGGCAGTGATGAAAGAGTAATCAGGAATTTAATTAGAATAGGAATTGGGGAAGTCTGTTGCATGATTAGAGGATCTCAAGCCTAGGCTTTCTAATATGCTAAGTCCTCACTTTGTTATTATCTGCATTTTCAACCTCTGTTTTCTTGTAAATAATTGGACAAACCTTTTCTAAAATAATTGCTTACTTTATTTCGCAAGTCAAATTAATTAAAAACTATCGTTAGTCCATTAGGTACAATATCCGGATTAAGGTCCACTGTAACTATTGCATAGGGTATGTTCGCCCTTAGCAAACACATTTGCACACATCAATTATTTACTGGTGTAATTTAAAGCCAAAAGGATTTACTAAAACACGGAGATTTGAGCAAAAGCTTATAAGAAATTAATTCTGAAGTTTCAAAAGTCATGATTAATGTTTTTACTCCATAAATTCAAAACACTTGTTTCTAAAAATATGGCACCAAACTAATTAGGAATTATTCCTAAACTGTCAAACAAAGGAATTGTGTACTCATGTTTCAAGTACAACTCTTGAACTCGTCTTATAAGTTCTATTCAAGAAGGTGTTGAATCAGTATAAGTAACAAATCAAGAGGATTAAAGTTATTGATGGAATAGATTTAGAGGGGAAAGTGAAGAAGTTATAATAATTGTAAAACATATCCAGGGAGTGGATATAAATAATTCCATAGATTGCTATACATGTGGAAACAGTTTATCACAATCTCAACCATTGATTTCCAATCAATGGTTCTCATTTCTCACTTTTTGCTCAAACGCAAATTTCTATCTTATGAAGATCATCCTCCCATTAAAGATAACAAGAAGTTTCCCTTTCATCTTTTTCCTCCTAAGATCCTAAGTGTACCACACCTATGTTTCTCTGCAGAGTATATTCTATAAGAGTGGCATCTGGGCCTCTTATTTGATCAACTTATGATGAGAACCCTATAGCCTCATCGTCAAACAAAGATACCCACCTCGGATATTTCCTCAAGCCATGTTCTTTTACTTGATGGTAAACATTATGACTATTGGAGTGACCAAACAAAGACTTTCTTCATTTCTCAAAATCTGTGTAATATTCTAGAAGAATATCAAGAACAGCTACAACTAGTGGTTTCGCAAGAAATCAACTGAAGCAGTAGAAAGAAGCTTTGAAGAGAGATGAAAATGCTCTCCGTTATATACAACAACGTTGAACAAATGCATTTGTCAAAAATTCTTGGCATGATTCAAAAAACAAAAGAAACTTGGGGTAATCAGCAAAATAAGTATAAGGGCAGGAAGAATGTCATTTCTATTGATTTGAAATTGTGGAGATACTATTCAAGAAAAGCTGATTGTTAAGAAAGTTCTTAGTAGCTTGCCACAAAAAATTATTATATTGTTGCTACTCAAGAAGACCACAGATTTTTTTCTACATACACTATGCAGTATGACAAATTCTCATCAAACTAACCTGGAGAAGCAGCGAACAAACTGTAAGATCAGTCTTTGGAGTGAGCTTTACAATCAAACCTAATTTTTTTCTAAAAAGAAAGATGAAGAGGAAAAAGGTACAATAGCAATCAGCCACAAAAGAAAGGAAGAAGATCGATTAAAGAATGTGAGAGAGGAAGGTCAAACCAAGAAAAGCCAAGGAACAATGACAAGAGCACTCCTCAGTGTCTATTTGCAAGAAAAACCAACATAATCGCAAATTGTAACCAGTGCCTGTCTAAACAATCTACCAAATGCCGAAACTCAGATCTCAAGGTGACACTATCCAATGAAGGGGAAGAATGAAGCTTGTTTTTAGAAAACATGGGCGGCACATTGTAGCATATTTTCTTTGTATCTAGAACCTCCAAAGGAAGGAGTCTGGTATATTGACTGAGGTTGCATTTGCACCAGTGAAATTTAACGTATCTAATCAGTTAGAAATTAATTCCAAAATTTCTAAAGCCCAAATGCATGTTTTAACTCCATAACTCCATGTCCTAGTTCGCCTAAAAGAAAGGCACTATTCTAGCTATATTTCCTGCGGAATAGCAATAATAACCTTGTTTTCGTTACATTTTGTCTGCTTTCTTTCTTGTCTCTATAGCCAATTGATTCACCAATAGTATAACAAGTTACAGCTAGCTTCTTTTATTTATCCCTCTAGTTTCCAAACATAAGTAGCTCTTTTAAACTATCTAACAATTCAATATGAACAACACAACTGACATTTAGTGATTTAACAAGTAACAACTCAAAATATCATGTGATACCTTTGTACAATCTGCCACTGCCTTTTTATACTCCCCAACTTCTTTGTAACATGAAGCCCTGCATGACAAAACCTCGATTGTGGTGGCATCATCCCCAGCTTTCTCTAGAAGAACAATGGCCCATGAAAGCCACTTAATAGCATCAGCAAACTGTCCCTGCTTGTAATTGTCCATCCCCTTGCTTTTGGCAGTGGAACCAGACACCCCAGCAGGAGGAGGAGGCAGCCCCTCAAGCTCAGTAGTGGTGCCACCCACATCATGGCCTGCCCCACCAAACTCCGAATCCAAACCCCAATCATCCTGTCCTCCAAATCCATCAGAGGCCGCAGCAGCACCTCCAACCGTGGACGAGGGAGTCCCGGTGAAAAACATGTCCATTGGATCACCACCAACACCTGATCCCTGAACAGAATTCTGGGTGGAAGCAGCAGATCCAGCAAAATTGATACTAATCCCAGGAGAAGCAGCCGATGGAAATGCGGCTGAGCTCGGTTTTGAAGCATTTTGAAAATCTCCAAAACCATCCGAGCTCGGTTTTGAAGCATTTTGAAAATCTCCAAAACCATCCGAGCTCGATTTGGAAGCATTTTGAAAAACTCCAAAACCATCATCCCGAGAATCAACCTTTGGCCCTTTGGCAGCCGAATTAAGAGGAGCAGATTGCTTGAATCCAAAACCAGACAAAGAACTAAACGGATCCTTGTTATTAGAACTGCTTCCGATTCCACTACCCACGTTTCGCATTGAAGTACCCCCAAGGTCGGGGGTTTTGTTAGCATTCACGCTAAACCCCCCAGAAGGCGAAGCCCAACTAGCACTGCTCTGTGGCGCGGCACCAGTTTTGGGCAAAGAATCAACCATGTTTCCCATAGAAAAGGAGGTTTTATTGGGGGTGGGAGTGGCGTTTTTGAGAGGAACATTGGTAGAAGAAGACTTGGAACCCTGGCCCAAAGCAGAACTTACCAAATCTCCAAAGAGATTAGGGTTCTTATTAACGATCCCAACGTTTTTGGAAGCGGGAGAAGGTTGAGTGGTTCCCCAGCTCTTACCGAAGATGTCTCCGACCATGGAGGGGGGGCCACCAGGAAGGGCGGTGGTCTGATTGGGAGCGGGTTGGTGGGTCCATGAGGGTTGTTTGTTGGGTTGGGCGGAGGAGTGGGAATAGGAATAGGAAGTGGTGGTTGTGGAATAGGAAGGGTTGGGGTTTTTCTGGTCGTTGAGAGATTTGGGACGGTTGGATCCGATGCCCAGATCGAAATCAAAATTGAAGTTGTTGAGGGAAACGGAGGGGGATTTGTGCGTGTTGGACTGACCGTAGTTGGAATTCATTTCTGAGAATGAGAAAGGGAAGGACGTAGGAAGAGAATGAGATGTTGGAACGGAGAGAAAAGGGGGAAGGTGTTGTGTGTTCCTGATGAACCGTGGGTTGGGTGTGTAAGGTGGATCGCTAAATTTGGTAATTATTACAGACGTTTAAAATAAAAAGGGACTATTAGACATCAATCTCAAAAATATATTACTGTGTTGCTTTACAATAATGTAATATTAGCCCTCAGCTGAAGTGCACAAAAATATTATTGAATGGGAAGGAAAGCATATCGCATTGGGGATTAACTTTCACTGCCTCCTTCAACTCATCTGCACCTTTTTCATGGACTCCAAACAAATACTTCAATCGGTGTCGTGTTGAGTAAATAGCGGACAGGTGGACAAGACAAACATCTGTCTTCTATGCTTCTAATCTGATGTCATCACTTGTTAAGGGCGCTAATTTAAAATTAGATATCTTTTAATACAATATGAACAAAAGATATTACTTTTAACAAGTAACTATCACTTTTATCCATCAATATTAATATCGTTTAGTAATTCATTCATTCACATACTCTATCTTTAATATAAGAACAATGTTTAATAATTAAAGAGCTATAGGAAATTAGAATATTTATAAGAATTTATACGTAAAAAAGAAAATATTCATCTCAGTTAAAGATTTTGTAAACTAATTTTTAACGAGACTTTTTTTATTCAAAAAATGTAAAGTAATATTTGAAAAGTAATTTTTAAAAACTCGTGTAATTTCAAATTCATGGAGGTTAAAAAAAGAATCTAAAGTAACTCAAACCATTGAATTTAGTTCTCCTTTTCTACTCTCTACTATGTATTTTGAACTATTTTTCTTTTGTAAGGTGTGTGGGCTTTGTCTAAAGAAACTCTTGTACTAAGGAGAAGTGGATGAAATCTTGGCCATAATTTATATTTTTTTTCCCATGACAGTGTGGTATTGACAATATGTTGATTTCTTTAAAACTACATATCTATTGAAAAACAGGCTACAAAATTTGAATTTTCAATTCTTGTAAGCATCCTGAAGTTCCCAGGCTACTATTAGATTTTGAGAATGTTCACTGCTCAAGAATGTATAGCAAGCTATTTTGGCAAGTAATCCCTTGCTCGATTTATTAGCACCACGTTAAACACTGTTATTACTTCTGGACACCCACTGCAAATATCCAACTTGCTATCTATGCTACAAAAATTTAAATATTAAAGAAATAAAACAACAAATGAATATTTTATTATTAGTCTTGCTGAATTATTTAAAGATTTTTCTTTCAATTTTAAACATCTCCCCTGTGAAACTCATAATAAAATATTCATTTTTATCTCTTATAAGAATTCTAAAATAAATATACTTTAATATAAGCCAACTTAAACAGAAATAAAGAAAAAGGTGTAAAAAAACAAAACCAGTACTGCATGAGGTAGATTTTCATGATCCAAGTAGATGCAGATAGATAGTGTGCCAAAGCCAGGGTAAGGAATTGGATCAAAACAGTTTTGAAATAATTATCCAAACTAGCAATGAATATTTGAAACAATTTACTAGCATCAGTTTGAGAGAGAGAAGCTATATCAATAACTTCAACTAGATATACAGCTGTAAATAACTAGATCAGGAGATAAACACGGCAACAATCTATTGATGGATTGTAAGTAGAAATGGTGCATCAAAATCAACAAACAAATGCATTAAGCATAGTAGTTAAAAGAAAATTTCGGTAAAATAATCAAAATAAATTCAAGTAAGAGAACCATTGATTGGAAATTTTGTGATAGACATATTCAATAAAATATCACAAGGGCAATGACATTGAGAACTGGCTCAGATCAGATGTAAAAACAATTTGTTTCAAGTCTATCAATTTTACCAGTCAGTATGTTAAATCACATAAGACTGACATGAAACTCATTCTGGTCCACAGAGCATCTACAACTTCATAATAAAGGTGTAAAAAATTATTGTCAAATATCATTCAAGGCAAGCACAGGCATTTTCCACACAAGTAAAACATGGCCTCAGAACCTTAAATCAAAACTCTCCAAAAGAAAACTTGCTTCTGTTTTCTACGTGATAATTCCTAAAGCAGAGTTCATATCAACCATTTATTAGTTTTCTCTATCGGAAGCCAGGTTATGACTATTCATTGGAGTTGATGGCTGCATAGGTCCCCCATGACCTTGGCTCCAGTTCTGTTGGTCTCTCCTTTCAACCTGCATTGTTTCCCTTCGTCTGTCATGCCGTGGCCGTTGTCTACTCCTAGTGGGTTGTCTCTCTGAATATCTATACTGTGGCCTAGGAATCACCTTCCCATCAACAAATAAATCACCTGAAGTACACCAAAAGCGATCAACACAACCAAAAATGAAATAAATAATCATCAACTAAGCTCTACGTAAATTCAAACCCTCCACTGACCTCCATAATCCTTGTTGGGGACATCAAGATATGAATCTGGCAGCACCCAAAGAACTCCAGGTAACTCTGTTACGACACATGGAATAATTCCCAAAAAGTTACAAAGACGAACAAATTTGAAATTATAATTAAAAAAAAAATTATAAAATTAACCTCCATTAATATCCATATAAAATGAGATTTGCAGTCAATTTGACAGTAGCATAACAACACTGACAGGAAAACCTAACAACTCAAGCAACTCAAAATTTGAACCAAAAGATACAAAAGTAACGAATCCAACGCACCTTTGACTTTATAAGAAAGCTCTTCGGAAATGAGGGCGCCGAAGCCTGTGTATGTAGAAGTGGAAACAGAGTATATCTTCTTTTTGGCCTCTTCCTCGCTGCAACGAACATTCAGGGAAGTGAAATTAGAAAAAAAAATAGAAAGAAGTGAAGTAATTGATAATTAATTAAAGGAGAGGAAAAAGGGACCTTCCGAGGACTTGGGCTAGGGTTTTGACATAGGTGCTGACCATGTGGTCTTCGGAGGGTTTAGGGTTATCGGGAAACTCCATGACGATGAGCCAGTGCTCGTAGTCGCAGCCATCCAAAAGAATGGTCTCCTTCGGAGGACGGTTGCTCCAGTTCGGGGACGGGTCGTTCAGGGGCGAGTAACCGGAACCCGACGATTTGCTCCGAACCGGGAAAGTTGCCCAGTGAGGAACGGGTACGGTTTGTTTGGCAGGGAGCAACGCGAATGCGAAACAACAGCGAGAGGGAGAAGCGCTTGCGGGTGACGAAGAAAGAGCTCGTGCCACGGTAGATGCTAAGGTGCGCCGGGCGTTCACGTACGCCATTTCCACCCAGCTCTCACCGCTACTCTGTACTCCGTTTATCAAGAAGCATAGGGTTTTATTACACTGTATATCTTCAATTTAATAACAACAAATCAATCCAAAAATTTCATTTCAACATCGTAGTTTAATGATAAAATAAGATTATTTTATTTTCTATTCTTATTTATATGAAAATATTTAACTTAAATGTATTTTTATTTCTGAAATATATAAAAAAAATTATTTTTTATCTCTAAATTATTTTGCTTAATTTTGGATTTTTTATATTATTTTTTTACATTATATTTTATTAATTTAAAATTATTAATATATATATATATATATATATATATATATATATATTAAAAATACTAAAATAATATCATAAAAACTAAAAATTAAAAAGTTACAGAAAACATAAATTAAGTAAAATTTAAAAAATTATATTTCAAAACCCGGAGACTAAACGATCATAGGAACTAATAGAAAATTGTTTTATTTTATGTTAGTATAAACATAAACAACTTATAGAATTTTGTTTTATTTTAGGTAAATATAAGCATAAATAATATTTTATGTAAATATAAATATTAATAATAATTAAAATAAGTTTAATTTGAAGAGATTTAAGAAATAGATTAAATTAATTAAAAAATTTATTACTTAAATTTAATTTATTTAGGTTATAATTTAAATAAATTTAGACTATTTTAATTTATTAATTGATTTTTTATGAAATTATTATTATTTATTAAAATTAAAAAAATTTAAGAGTATAAGTGATATAATAAAAATAAATTTAAAATTTACTGTTTAAGGTAAATAGAATTATAAATAAAAAAAGTATAAAGCATTCAAAATTAATTATTACAAAACTACAATATTAATGCAATTCTGGTTTTTTTTTTACTTCTCTCTAAATTTATTTTTTTTATTTTTTTTGTCTAGATCCAAACACACCATAATGCTTATAGAGGAGATCATTTCTATTCTATCATAATTTTAAATTGAATAAGTTTATCTTTTTTTAATTTTAGACCATTTTTGCATATTTAAGTTTAGGATTGTATTTGGGTTCCAAGGGCTCTATTGTAAAAAGATTAATTTTGACTAGTTTAAGAACATTATGATATGTTCAATTTGTTAATTAAATTTTTTAATAAGCATTATCTATTTTCCTTAAAATTTAGGAGTTTTTTGGGTTCTTTGACTTGGAGGCAATGTGTTCGAGGTAAAGAAAGTTAATTATTCTTCAATTTTCATATTATATTAGGTTAAAATATTTGGAGTGTGAAGGTGAATTAGTCACATTAAGTTTCGGGAAATTAAATTGTGTGATTTGTATATGTTGATTTATGATGATTGTATTGAATGTGAATGTATAATTTATTTCTATGAGATTGAAAATAACATTACTTTTGTATAAATGTATCATTCTTAAATTGAATTTAGTGATTGATTTACAATTTGGAGTGTAATGTTTACATTTAATTTGATTTGGAATATTAGATTTAAGACAATGTTGAAAGTGCTTAAATTTCACTCAATGCTTTTAAATTCTCCCAACGGATTTTGTGCGAGTGTTCATTTTGTAAAAATTTCACAGAACACTTTTAAATTCATCTAGTAAATTTTAGGCACTTGTTAGAAGTTCTTTTATGTCAAAATTTCGCTTAGGGGATTTAAAATTTGCCTAGGACTTTCAAATTCACTCAACGTTTTCAAATTTGTTCGATTATTTTCAAAAAATCATAATTATCGAACTTCAAATTAAATGTTTCATGTATGCAAATCGAAGTCCAAATATAGTAAAATAAAAATTAGTTAACAAAATATCTATGAAAAAATTTATGGTAAAAAAAGTGGGTAAAGGTCAAATAAAAACAAAAATTATATTTTGTTATTAATGTGTGATGTGAACATGACCTATGATAAGTGCTAGAATAAGGGAAGCAAATGAAGTTCTTTAACAAGTATTGTTGGTTGACCAAATTGTGTTTTGGATTAATCAATTAATGGACTTTAGTTTAGTTTTATTGCAAGTTGTAATAAAGGCCCAATTGAAATTTAGTTATCAGTCTTTTGGAGACCAAGAGGGTGCATAACTGATTGACTTTTGATTGCTACAATTTCGATTACAATCAGCCATTAAGTAGTTTTCAATTTGTAGGTTAATAAATTATTATTAGCATTTATTTTTCTTTAGTGAATCTTTGTAATTCTGATGACAACGCTTCTATATCGACTCGAACGATTTTTATCAAGAAATAACAAGTGAAATTTTATTCGAAATATTAAAGTTTATCTCTTTTATCTTAGTAAGAGTGATTCTCCTAAATTTTTGAGTGATTCAAGAACCCTTGAATGTATCAAAGGACTTTCACATCCTTTGTGTGTTGCCTCCCTTGGGAAGAATGATTCTTTCCTTCCACCTTCTTACTAATTCCTAAATTTCTTACAAGGTTTTAACCCTAAAGATCCTAAATTAGCCCTTGTGTAATTGAGATTCATATCATTTGGTATCAGAGCCCTAGTTTAAAGGTTTGAACATCAAATTAATGACAGAAGAGGATAAAAAAAAATGAGAGAAATTTATTTTCAAGAAAAGAGAGAAAAAAAAAAGCGTTAGTGAAACACTTGAGAAGAAAAAAAAGTGATCAAAAGAATAGTAAAACACTTAAAGTGAGGGAGAGTTATTTAGCCATAAAAAGTGAGTATAATGTTTGTCCTATATTTAATTTGTCAGACTTATCTTTTTTTAATGTAGATGACGAATCCGATTTGAGGACAAATCCTTTTCAAGAGGGACAAAATGATGTGAACATGACCTATGATAAGGGCTAGAGTAAGGGAAGCAAATGAAGTTCTTCAACAAGTATTGTTGGTTGACCAAATTGTGTTTTGGATTAATCAATTAAAGAGTTTTAGTTTAGTTTTATTCCCAGTTGTAATAAGGGCCCAATTGAAAATGTAGTTATCAGTCTTTGGGAGACCAAGAGGGTGCATAACTGATTGACTTTTGGTTGCCACAATTTCAGTTACAATCAGTCATTATGTAGTTTTCAATTCGTATGTTAATAAATTATTATTAGCATTTATTTTCCTTTAGTGAATCTTTGTAATTCTGATGGCAACACTTCTATATCAGCTGAACCATTTTTATTAAGAAATAACAAGTGAAATTTTATTCAGAAATATTAAAGTTTATCTTTTTTATCTTAGTTAGAGTGATTCTCCTAAATTCTTGAGTGATTCAAGAACCCTTGGTTGTATAAAAGGATTTTCACATCTTTTGTGTGTTGCCTCCCTTGGGAAGAGTGATTCTTTCCTTCCACCTTCTTTTTAATTCCTAAATTTCTTACAAGGTTCTAACCCTAAAGATCCTAAATTAGTCCTTGTGTAATTGAGATTCATATCAATGTGATAAATGATATGTGTATGCCTTAAGTTATTAAAATACATGTTATGAATATGAATATAAAATAAGGTGTGTTAAATGTTATTATGTATCTTGAAAAATATTGTATTGTGATATGAGAATTAATAAAGAATATCCTCATGTGTGTAGTATTATGTGTTAGGTATCAGACAAAAGCATAAGCACACATAACTAAAATAAAAAGATGAGAAAAACACGATAATAGGAAAAAGAGTAATTCCACTAATGAAAAAAATTACAACCCTTCTCTCTCTACCTCCAAGGAGGAAACAATAACATCATTTCCTGAAAATAAAGGAAACACAACTCTAAGACAATCTAAAAGGAGAAATTATATTTCTCTCTTAATTTCTCTCTCAATTACTAAAACAACAAGAGAAAGAAAATGAAGTGATTTTTGTGCATTTTACAAAGTAAATATTGTGCTCCTTTTATAGTAAGAAAATGAAATATCAAACTAAGATTTCCCTGATGTGGGACTTTTCTTCTCACAATCTCCCACTTTTGATTAAATTAATCAAATCTTCACACCATGCTTGTTTTATTCTTGTCATCCATGTTGCTTATTTTTCTACTAGGCGATAGTAGGATCGACTCCATACAAACTTGTCAACATTAACCGGTTTTGTCATAACATATGCTAGGTTCGCATCTGTGTGAATCTTTTGCATATCCACACTACTTTCTTCCACTAATTCTTGAACAAAATGATATCTTATTTCTATGTGTTTTGTCCTGGAATGAAAAATTGGATTCTTTGCAATGTGCAAGACACTTTGACTGTCACAATACACAACAATTTATTGTTGCTTGTGCTTGAGTTCCTCCATTATCTTCCCAATCCAAATAACTTCCTTACATGTCTGGGTGAGTTCCATATACTTAGCTTCTGTGGTAGATAGAGCTACAACATCCTGTAACATAGATAACCAACTTACTGCCCCTCCTGCAACTGTAAACACAACCAGTAATAGATCTCCTTTTATCTAGATCACCTGCAAAATCTGAATCAACATAGCCTCTAACAACTAGTTTTGATCCTTCATAACATAATGTAGCACCTGGGGTTCCTTTGATGTATCTAAGGATTCTCTTTATAACACTCCAATGCTCTCCACCAGGGTTTCCCATGAATCTACTAACTACTCTCACTGTTTGTGCAATGTCTGATCTTGTACAAATCATGGCATACATAAGACTTCCCACTGCTATACATATGGTATTCGAGACATTTTCATCCTCTTCGCTTCATTGTTGGAACTCATACTTAAGGATAACTTACAATTGATAGGAAGTGGGGTGGATATTAGCTTGCAATATTTCATGTTGAAGCGCCACAAAATTTTCAGTAAGTAATTCTTCTGAGAAAGCCAAACCTTCGTATATTTTTTGTCTCTGTGAATTTGCATCCCTAAAATCTTGTTTACTGGTCCCAAGTCCTTCATGTCAAACTCCCTAGCCAACTGTGTCTTTAACTCTTGGATTCGATCTATGTTGGGGTCTACTACCAACATGTCATCCACATATAATAACAAGATAACAAAATCATTATCACCAAACCTATTGTAGTATGTATAATGGT